AGGGGAGGGGGGGCGGACACGACTCGCGGCAGTATTTTGAATTTGAGTGCAGTAACCGTTTTGGCCACATTCTTACATACAGCGCCTTTAAGTATACTATATGATAAGCACAATATTGATTAATCAGGTAAGGTCACTTTGCATTCTTTGTCATTCACCTCACGAAGGCAGGAGAATCATACAGTTTGACGCAAGCTGCAACCTCTGGGGCTGACAAATGAAGAGAACATGGAAGTGCCAAAAACTGCAGTTCATCTGGGAGGACCTTCCTCTATGAGGAACTGCAGTTGAGGCTTGCCCCAAAAGGCCAGTCAGTCCCCATACCCTCCCATGTTAAAATACCCAACCTTACAGCAGAAATAAACATTTTTACAGCCTGGCACAAAAGATGGTTTTGGTCTGGTTTTGGTCTCACGTGCTGGTTCAGTGAACCAGCATAAGCTCTGACAGTCGCTCTAAGCATTTCATCCCGGCACCAAACAGTAGTCAGGGTACCGTTGGCTGTGACATGGAGGTCTGTGCAACCCTCTCCCCAGAACATCACTGAGTCACCACCAAACCAGTCATGTTGGATGATGTCACAGGCAGCATAATGTTCACCATGATGGCTCCAGTTTCTCTTATGCCTGTCACATGTGCTCAGTGTGAACCTGCTCTCATCTGTAAAGAGAACGGGGCACCAATGGTGCACCTGCCTATTCTGAAATTCTCTGGTAAATGCCAATTGAGCTGCATGGTACTTGGCTGTGAGCACAGGTCCCACTAGAGGACAGCGGGCCCCCATGCCACACTCATGGAGTCTGTTTCTTACAGTTTGGTCAGAAACATGCACACCAGTAGCCTGCTGAAGGTCATTTTGTAGGGCTCTGGCAGTGCTCCTCCTGTAACTCCTCACACAAAGGAGCAGATACCGGTCCTGCTGCTAGGTTGATGCCCTTCTACAGCCCTGTCCAGGTCTCCTTGTGTAACACCCAGTCTCCTGGTATCTCTTCCATGCTCCTAAGACTGTGCTCAGAGACAGAGCAAACCTTGCTACGGCATGCATGGATGTGCCATCCTGGAGGAGCTGGACTACCTGTGCAACCTGATTGGAAATGGATTGAATTGAATTGAAATGGACAGATTGACATCCCTGAAATTTAACTGACTTGGTGTTACACTGTCACATTAAGTGTTCCCTTAATTTTTTGAGCAGTGTATAAATAATGGTATGTAGTAAAACACAACTCTGTTGTTGCACTGTAGAATTAGTGCTGTGGAATTGTACTACATATTGAATTTGCGATGTGTGTGTGAGTCTACCACTCACTCTCTCTTTGCTCAGTCTTTTTTAATGAGTGACCCGCCTTCATTTATTTGTGCTGGCTGCTTAAGACTTGGCCATTATTTGAATGCTAACTACTTGAAAGTTTGAGGGGTAGTCATAATAATAGGCTGCAGAATAATGTCTTTGGAGTAAGGGTTTGGCCCATGTGACTAGAGCAGGTCATTGCTAATTTGTGACTGGACCCCTGTGAATACACACTTTGATGTGATTTAAACAAACCAATCTTGACTTTGTTAAGTCATCAGAATTGGAGTCCCAGATTATGATTTGTTTTGCATCTTGTATAACTTCATGCTGTAAAAAAGATGGTCATGAACTCTATCCCTCCCTTGTCCCTCTACAGTGTATTCTGTCTCAGCCTAAGTTTTGGGCTGTAGAAGTCACAGCACTTTGCCTCAGGACCAAACTGGAAAAAGGGAGCTCCCGATGTGTTGAGAGAGCCATGATGCAAACCCAGGTAAGGAGATATGTGTGTGCATGGGGGTGGTGTGGGGTATTTATATATTCATTAAGAATCCTTTCATCAGGAGTACTAAACATGCATGCATGTGATGCAGCAGAGATTCTTAACCACCCCAACCCCACCCCATCAGTCAGTACTGCAGGTTTATTACTAAAATGCAAATAAACAACATAGCTAACCAGAAAAATAAGATAAAAGTTATGTGCTAATTTGCTTTCAGTAACATGTTGTACATGTATTATAATATCCATATAAATCAATAATAAAAAAAAATTATCAAATGAAATTGTTCAGAACAATAAACAATAAAATAATATATCCATCCATATTCTTAACCGCTTATCCTCTCGAGGGTTTTTTATTTATTGGCATTTCCATTTAGATTTTTTTAAGCACAAATTAAAAACGCACACCAAAACAGGCACAATGGAAACACACACACAGTTTCGCAGTTTTTTTCCACACAATTTTGACCCCAGAGATTTTCACCAGTTTGATTTTTCCACCTGAATGTATTTGTCAACATATCCATTTAGTCAGCAAAAGTCATGTTCTTTTATTACAGTTAAGACATTTCTTGCTTTTATAATTCCCTGATGCACACTGTTTAAATCCATTGCAGAATACAATTTGTCACTGCAAACTTTAGCTTTATTCATGGTGTGTGCTGTAAATTACATCCAGCAATAGTCTTATCTACCTGTGTGGATGTTTTAGTTAAAACAGCTGCAGAGCTTGACCTGACTTGTGGTACCATTGAGATATGGAGTAATGTTGTTTTGTCTTTTGTAACAACCCTGAGCATAAACAAAACCATTAATCCACCACAGCTCCAAATGTTACTTTGGATATTGACCAATAACAGCTTTGAGAGGCTTAATACAGATGTCATTATGGGACCGTGAAAAAGCCGGTAAAGAAATTATAAGACTTGAACACCTGGATGGAAGATGACAGTCACTGTGCACATGCTGAAAGGAAAATAAAACATGGATTGTTCTTTCTTTACTTGAGGCTAGACAGATGGGCAGGCTGACTGACTGACTGACTGACTTGCTTACTTTCTTTCCTACTTTATTGTCCACTTGAGTGGGGATTTATCTTTGGCTTTTTCCCAAGTATAGCAAAGGTACATAACACAACATTTAGACTGAGAGTAAAATCGTAAGCACTTATGCCTCAGCGCCTGTGATAGTTGTGGCTGGAGGCAATATGTTTTCGATACCGACACCAATCCGATACCTTTCTTTTCTCCTCTCTTAAATTGTTAATAATACATTTGTATGGATGTACTTTTCTTAATATACACATAAAAAACACCATGTTCAAACTGTGCAACAAATATTCTTCTCCCCTAAAGGAAGAAATAAGTTATGCAGTGCTGTTGCTGCTGCTTTTTATTTAACCTTAAAACCCTCATGGCTTTTAATAGCATTTTTGATTGGTCAACAGCACCATTCAAACATTCAAAATACAATTTAAGATTAAACTTTGTGCAAAAGTTTAAATCTAAGTATTATAACAAATGAAAAAGGAATTATAATTCCAGTGTAAAATGAGATACCTCACACTCAGTGTAGCCTATACCTCACTGACACAGCAAAATAACAAGTTGCAGTGTCGACCATAGCCTAAATAATTATAACTTAACATAAAAAAATAGCATCTCCACTAGAAAATGTACATGTATGTTAGACATGCCCTCTTAAGGCACTCACAACAGAAACTCTAGGCTAATACTGCACCTGATATCAAATTAGATGCATTGAAAAAACTAAGGGTAGAAAGTGGAAAACTCTAATGTTTCTTCTTTCACATGTAACCTCTGGGGATGAACAGTATGTAAAACACCCATATCAAACTAGATATTAGAATGGACACAATTACAATATTCACTCAATTCTAATGTTTCAATGAAGACAATAAGACATAGTAGCTGCCTGACCTTAAAACTGTCACAACCACTTACTTTTACTGTCCTTACGCATTTGACATAAATTTGGTCCCTCCCACACGAGAGGCAGGTTCTTCTTCAGAAAGATTAACATTTCAGCCTTCTCAGCTGTCAGTCTGCTCCTCCTTTCATCGAAAATAATGGAGGCTGTGCTAAAGAGCCTCTCGCTCTCCACACTTGTTGAAAGTGCACAGAGAAATGTAGTTGCTGTGACTGCCAAGGAAGACAGTCTAGGTTGGTTGATCTTCCAGTACAGCAGTGGATTGTCCGAACGCAGAATAGTTGGCATGCTGAGGTAGGTTTGCACTTCAACACGTACACTTGTGGTGGTTGACTCAGGACCAGGTGCGCTTTCCTCCAGGATTTCATCAAAAATGCTTCCAAGTTCGCTCTTGCTTGTAGCCTCTACCCATGGAGTCATTTTTGTTGGCTCTAAGGTGGATGAGGTCCCCTCTGCTGGCCATGTTTTCTCGACTGAGAATGCATTTAAGAACACTCACAATGGGAATGGCATCATATGCAGATGAAGATGAAGAACTCACCTCTCTTGTCAACTCCTCAAAAAGGGCTAGAGCTGCAGCAGTCTTTTCCAGTAGCACCCACTGATTTGAGGTCATTGTGGCTGGCAGGTCGTACACTGCTGTGTATACAAACAGGGCTCTTTTCTGTGCAATGAGGCTCTGAGCACAACCTCGTTCGTACATCTTGCTGCAGATGCTTGGGTGGCATATACAGCTCCACTTGAATGTCCTCCAAGCGTGAATACGCAAGTGGCGAGTGCTTAAAGTGACCCACAATTTTTCTAGAGAAAGCCACCACATCACTTACACTACGCTGTGGCAGCAGTCCCTCAACTCCAAGACAATCCATTGCTTTTATCACGTTACTGGCATTGTCTTGTAAAATGACATGGACTTTGCTCTTCTCAATTTTCCATGCATTTAGCATCTCCTTGATTGCTGTGGCAATTGACTCTCCTGTGTGTGAGCCATGAAGTTGCTTAGCCTGCAGCACTGCTTTTTGCAGCATAAAACTTGAGTCTTACCACTGTGCTGTCAAATTTAGTAAGGACATTGGACACACGTCTGAGCTCCAGATGTCAGTTGTTAAACTAACTGGCAATGCTTCTCAAACATTTCGAAACGAAGTTGCACACTTTTTTGTACTTTAGTGGGATGGCCATATCAAAGATGAAATGTTGATTTGGCAACTGATAGCGAGGCTCCAAATGTTCCACCAAACGTCCAAAACCTACATTTTCAACAACAGAAATCGGCTGTTCATCCAGCTAAACGAGGTTGATGAGTTTCTCTGTTATTATCTTTGTTTTGTTGCTCCCTGGAGGGAGTTTCTCATGCTTCCGCATTGTTTCCTGCAGTGGCTGTTGTCACAGCTCACTTTTCTTCTTAGCACTGGTTGACTGTAAAAAGTCTTCATCCTCCTTTCCATGATGCTTCCACAAATGTTTTATCAACTTTGTGGTATTGAAATGTCCGGTGCTGCTGCCGCCCCTAGAGACACTCACGTTGCACTCGGCCGTTTTACTTTTCTCTTCTTTGCACCTAAAATAACTCCACACAGCCAACAGAACAGCAACGCAAGGCTATTTGCCTGCCACACACGTTCCAGCTACTGTTTATGCATCACGTGCTGCCGCAACTGCATGACTGTTTACGGCATGTCGTGTTAAGTTAAGTATTTATATGATAGTTTGGGCTTATGGATCGGATCAAATTTTTTCCAGTGTCTTCCCTATCACCATCACTTTGCATGGCTTTAACACAGCTTTTTTCAGTCTGAACGCTCCCTTAGTTGCCAGAATTTCTTGACATTTCCCTCTAGAGTATTGTACACTTCAGTCTCTATATTTTATATTTAACTGAGATGATTTATTTTGTATTTAATCTGCTGAAAACAGATTTTTGAAACTCATCTTATTACTTATTTTAACTCAACATATATTGAAAAAATTGGTATATTACTTGAATTAATTTTCTGTTGTAGGGTTTTTTTTAGTTTATGTTTCTTGTCTCTTCATACTTAGAGTGTATGTTATGCAGCAGTGCCTGACTGTGGCAGAAACTCTTTAACTTAGATTTTAACTGAGTTCTGTAGCATAGGTTTATCCCCAGATGACCAAAGTATAAGTTGTGCGCCGGAGAATGAACACAATTTTACACCATCACTTTTGATTCATTCATCAATAAAATCTCTATGTTTTTAACCCAAAATATTATTAGGTCAAACAAAATTCAAAGCCAAGACACGATTTGAAAATCAAATGTTCTTTTACTAAAAAATAAATCAAAAGAGGACTCATGATACATGTCTCAGTTCAATTCATTTCAGTTCAGGGTGTGTGAGCGTGCATGAGTGTGTGTGTATATGGCTGCAGTTCAATCTAGTTCACTTCAGTGTGAGTGTGTGTTTGTGTATGTGTATTGGTGAATTTAAGACTCTAATGATGAAGGAGGAATAATATAATTGACCTTTTGCTAAGCCCCGCCCTTTTGTGATCGTCTGACAAGTTGTCGCATTAAGCATGGAGCCCACACAGTAAGTAGCTGCACTCCCTGAAGAAATATTATCATATTTTTCAACAAATGAAATAGTGATTTCAGAGAGGAGCAGACAGAGGGGTCTACAAAATGCACTTCAAGGATATATCCAGGATGTCAAACTCACTCAGCAGCAAAAACAAGTTTAAAAGACAAAGATAGTTAGTAGCTAAAGTTGAATTATAGACTGCAGATCACAGTGTAAAAGTGAACCACCACGTCACTGGTGATCAAGACAGAAGACAATGAATATAAAGGGAAACTTTACTGATACTGAACCAGCTGTGTGGCATCGCAGTATGTGCAAATAAATGGTGTTTGGTTTAGCCCTCGTGCTGCTTCCAGCACTCAGACCTCCACCGCCCAACGGGCAGGGATGTCAAACAACACTCATCTGCACACAATGCAATGACACACAGCTGGTTGAATATCAGCAAAGTTTCCTTGCTTACCTTCACTGGTTCCTGTACAGCAGGGTAGGTCTTTTTTCAGTGTTAGAATCATTAAAAAGCAAAAGCAGTATATGTATACATTCTGTAGGCTATATCTTCTGGAGCTAGCTAGCTAGCTAACCTTACACTTTTAGGGGTTTGATTTTGGTTTTTGTAACAGGGAAGAAACGTTTATCTTTTTCCAACCTCTTGCAGTAGTGAGTATCATATTACAGGATTTGCCCCAGACACAACATTTTGCTCAAAATCCACAAAACCAACCTGAAAATGAAGGAAATCTGACACGACTGCATTAGAGTTGATGTCTCATCCAGGTCTGTGCTGGCCTGATGCTACATTATGATTGGCCAGTCTGCATCCTGGGGCTGGACTTAGGGAAGGGTCCATTGGGGCAAAGAGTAATATATATTACTTAGAAAGGAAGCCTGAAGAGGGTAGTGACAGGAGAGTTATCTTAATGGCCAGAGGTGCACCCAAAAACAGATTTAAGAAGTTGATGAACAGGAGTCCCTTCATCCCATCTGCTCCAGAGATCCACACACTTTCAGTAGCCTTGGTGTCCAGAAAAGTTCACACAATCCAGTCGGTTCTGGTATCAGCTGCCGCTTGCTTTACTTTTGACTTTACTTGTTATGCCTCCGCACAAGCAATGCCCGTGGCTGGAGGCATTATTTTTTCCGGTTGTCTGTTCATCTGCCTGTCTGTCCGTATGTACATCCCTCCCATTCTTGTGAATATTATGTCTCCAGGAGGTTTTTCTTCACATTTGGCACAATCATTCATTTGGACTCATCAATAAACTGATCAGAATTTGGCGGTCAAAGATCAAGATGAGTGTGACCTTGCATCTGTCTCATTCTCGTAAATACAATATCTCAAGAAGGCCTTGGGGGAGTTTCTTCTAATTCGGAAAAGTCGTCTTCACTTGGACTCAAGAATGAACTGTTTAGAATTTGGTGGTCAAAGCTCAAGGTGACTTTGACCTCACCAAACATGTCTTGGCTATAACTCAAGAATTCACTTGTTAATTATGACCAAATTTAACACAAAAGTTTAGTAGGATATAATGATAAAGTGATGACTTTTTTTTCAAAAGGTCAAGGTCAGTTTCACTGTGACATCATAATGTCGTGCATAAAACACTTTTCTGGCCATTATTCATTGACTAACTCAGGAGCAGAAGGGGAGACATTTGGTCAGATACTAAATTTGGTCGATTGTATAGATCTTCTGTGTTGCTGGGGGGAAGATGTGTGTAAATCATCTATGTTTTCACAGACATGGATATAAACTGAAAGAGAAGCTTGACTGGTTCCTGGAGGCATACAACTGCAAGGCAGTAATTCTAGTTTCCTATATGGTTTTAGAGCAAAGATATCCAGAAACTGAAGCGAACTTCAGCACATTCACTCCCCTCTGTTCTTCATGCTGCTTTTATTAGTTGGTTTCCTTTCCCCCAGCTCACAGGTGTGACTCATTTAACTCCTCTCACTCCCCACCTTCCTTTTCTGTCAGGGTTGTAAAGGGCTGTTCTGCCCTTTTCTCTTTTTTTCTCCTTTTCTGCAACAAACTCTATGTGGACTAATTAACGAACAAGTAACAGACCCAGCTGCAGAATGTCATCTTCTCCTTTATTTTTCCAGGTGATAGTAGACCACTTTGAAGACAAGAACTGTCCTGTGACTGAGAGGCTCAAGGGGTTCTACTTCTGCCAAGCTCCAACCAGATGGAATGTCCAGGTAGTGAGCTTTTTTTTTTTCAAAAACACACTGAATGCTTGATTTTAATAAACCAAGAGACGGTGTACTCAGTGACAAGGTTCAGTTCACTTTTCTGTGAATATGTAGTCATTTGAAGTGGTGGAATAAATTTCTCAAGAGGGGATGCGGGGTCTGCATTATATAAACAGACCATATACCACTATATCCACTGTGGCAAGTGCAAATGAAAGATTGTTGGTGAAAGTGGTGAGCTTGCTAGCAACACTAATAACAATAGATTATGTAGAGGCGTACCTCGACAAATTAGCTGTCTCTAAATGAAGCTGTTGTTAAACAAGCTTAAATTTGAACAACCAAACAATATCACTCTGGCTTCAACCACTGTATTAAGTGTTGGTTGGTCTATATTGTCTATCCAGCCAATTCTCACCGATGGAAGATGGATATGATGGATAAGTATTACATGGCTATATAGAGCTAGTTTGCCCTTGTATCACAAGTAGACATCCATAATGATATTTTTGCTGCCACACAGTGGCTCTTCATTTCCTGAATGGATCATTTTTTAATGGCACCTATGACCCCACAAAATAAGGTAGTTAGCTAGTGCTATGCTAGCTCTTAGATGTAGAGGTAAGGCTAGGTTACTGTTGTCAGTAATAAGCTAGTTAGCCAGCATGCTAATGTTAGTGGCTAGATCAACTTAGTATATTGTTTAATTTATCTTTTATGCTTTGGCTGATGTTATGTTATTTTGTCTTTCAGAAGACAGTAAAAAATACAAAGTTTTTTAATTCTTAAGATACAGAGTATCTCTCTAACAACCGCTCTTGTTGGGAAGAAATCCAAAGCTAAGGAGACCTGCTGTGAGTAGTTTTAGTTTCCAAGCTTTGATTGGACAGTCACTGTTGGGTCAATTATAGTCACAGTCTGAATTGCTGTCAGCTAGAAAATGTTAACTTTCAGTTCTTAGTATGATCCTAAGAATTGCTCTTTGTGCAAAGGTGACAACTCTAAAGCAACAGGGGAAAATGTATAGTGTAGATGATATATATAGCTATATAAAGGTCTCATAGGAGCTGTAGAAAACTGCGCTTATGACATTTTGTGACATATTTCCTGAACCACAAAGCATTAGATCTTCAAAGGCAAACATTAGACAGTAACAGAGCTGAGGATAGGAGTCAGAATGAAATAGAAAGAGCAGTGAGCAGAATAAGCGGTAATAGAAAGATTTAGACTTGTCCAAGAGATTGGAGGAGGAGTGTTGGCGAGATCAGCTGGGGGAGGGGACATCGCCCAGGTGCCATGTAATAACTGATAACAGCAATAAAGCTGAAATTGAAGAGTCCCTATTGCTGCCTGAGGACTTGAAAGTAGGTTGAGGCAGATGATTGTAGCAGGTACTGTGATGCTTTTTCTCGACACTGGAGAACCATGGCCTGCATGTGACAAAGCACTGAAGGCCTAGTTATGATTGGGGGTGGGGTTCTGTTTTTCTGTGTGTGTGTTGTACTTTATTTTAATTTGAAGAAAATAACTTTTACACATTTAGACTGAAGGATTTTTTATTCTTTACATACAGTTGGTTTTATACATTTCAGGCATCTAACTACACATTACATAGTGAAGTATATTACATCACTGCTGACCAGGCAGCCATTGGTTTACATTCATTTCAGTGGTATAAAGAACAACTTTCAAATATACACTCATGTAGGGAAGTAATCATTTCATATAGTCATTATTTTTAGACACTAGCGATGTGGCTTCAGGAATATCAAGGTTGGTTTGTCGGTTGGTCAGTCCACTGCTCTCGTCCAGACCAAAATACCTCAACAAATATAGGATGGATTGCAAAGAAATTTTGTAGAGACTTTCAAATGTCCCACTGAGTTTGGTGATCCCCTAACTTTTTTCTAGCGCCACCAGCAGGTTGACATTTGAGTGAAATACCTCAACAACTATCAGATGGATTGCTGTGAAATTTGGTTCAGACATTCATGCCCCATTTATGATGAATTATAATATATTTGGATAACAATGGTTTATGTCCACATACCTGCATAACAAGTAATATTTCCATCACTCCCAGCTGTGGTTTGTGTTTAGTGCTTGTTAGCAAATGTTAGCATGCTTACATGCTAAACTAAGATGGCAAACATGGTGAACAATATACCCAATAAACATGATCATGTTAGCATTTTCACTCTATGCATGTTAGCATGTTGACAACATTGCAAAGTGATTAGAATGGTTGTAGCCGCTCATTCTTCTCTCCTCCTCTACAGAAACAGCTGGCCAGCCTGCTGATGGACCTCGGCTGCAACAGTTCAGCTCTGCTTCTTTATGAGAAGCTGGAGCTCTGGGAGGATGCAGTTATCTGCCATGAGAGGCTGGGCCAACATGGCAAGGTACACACAACACACACACACACACACACACACACACACACACGCACAAACATACCTTTACCATTTTTATGTTTAAAACTAGAGACCATCTTGCAGTGGGATTACTCCAGCCGCAATACAGCCATCCACAACTTACAACTGATAGCCCTTTTGACTGCCAGAATCGTGCCCCTCAAACTGGGTATTTTAAGCCAAAACATGATCTTTTCCTTATCAAAACCAAGTATAACCAATGTTAACCACAGTTTTGTTGAAATTATGTTTCAACATATCTGCTAATTTATAAAGTGCAAAGGTAACATATTGGTGGTTTGCAGAAACATTCAATGCCAACATTTCTTTCTGCAATGGGGTTGCAACCACACATGATAAAAAAAATTAAAAAACATATAGGAGTATAAAGGGTGAATACATGAAGAACAAAAAGAAGAAAAAAGAATGAAAAAAGAGAAACGGGCATGGTTAGAGGTGTGCTGATGCTGTCTGTATTTTACAGAGATGAGGGCTGGCATGGCAGAGGCATGATGGAGAATTAATATCTGTTAGTTTTGACTGATGGTTGTCTGAGGCAGGATCCAGAGGGTACAAAGTTGAATTCTAAGTGCAGGGGATGGATACTGTCAGAAATGATGGATTTAGCTTTCTTTAACAGCTGTTTGCTGTAGTTCAGACAGGCATTGCTGCTGAATACCAATGATTTTGGCTGCTGACTTTCATCACCCTTGTTAATGGGTTTTTCTGTTTGAGGTTAAGAGATGCATATCAGCAAGTTAAAGCAAAAGTGAAAACTAGATTGAAAGGATTTATAATATAGGGATGTTTGAAAAAACACTTGTGCTTTTAAGGGTTAAAGTCCTTGCATTTCTGCCTGAATGGCTGTTTACTGTTACTGACCTCATCAGCTCTGAGTCCAATTTGAGTGCTTTGGGGTGTGAAGGAGGAATTCTGAAAAGGTTTTCAAGTTTAACGTTAGTATTCATGAAGAAAATGAATTTGGTCCGTGGCCCAAAAGAGTTTCCCACAAAAACAGTACATCTACAGAAACGGTACAAAAATGGTGTTATCCACAGGTGATCAAAAACCTTATGTTCCCTGCTCAAGCAACCTCACACACACACACACAGGAAGGATTCCAGAAAATTAGTGCAAAAACCCGAAACATAATGTGAATAAATTACATATGACATGAGTGTGACCTGAGACAGTTATAAGCAAAGCCAAATGACACATGGCACAGATTTAGTGCTGGTAAACACAACTGCAACAGGAACAATAGATTGTTTATAATTTCATGGTTTTTATTTTGCATTCTTCTCTTCTCCCATTCACGGACCAGAGAGAAAAACATTTTTTTAAGTGTGTTTTCAGCTCTCAGTACTTTTATATCTTCTTACAGAATCTCTGATGTTTCAAGTTTAGTTTCTCTCCTGTGTCCTGTTTTTACTTTAGATATCTGCTTTATTTTACTGTTTTGTGTTCACTTTAAGCTATATAGGAGTCGTGTTAAGTTACTGCTTATGAAAACTTAATGTTTTTGTATTTTGCTGTTTCACAATAAAAGCTTCTACATGTCAAAGTAACACAGGTCTTTTATTGTAAAGAATCTGTGGGAAACAAAATGTGTTTATCACCAAATTAGCACAACTTCTTCAGTCTCTAATACAAACAAGCCAGGGAAGAAGAATCCAAGCAGAAACAGCCATAATGAGGTGTTGGATGAAGAGCTGCAGACAACAGGCTCTTACTGCACCTCTGCAAACAGCTCACCTCCAACAACGGGTAAACTTCTTTTACCTGCCCTGCTATATGATGGAAAAACACATGCAGAAAAATAATGAGGGACTTAAGCCGTGGATCAGCTTGCTGTTTTTAAACGTCATTGACTCAAGACAAGCCATTATCAGTTAAAGACACACCTTCAAGCAGGGAGCACTGTTGTAATGGAGATGCAAATCCTTGCCGCGCTGGGCTGACGGAGCAGAGTCAAACCAAACCAAACCAAACCAAGCCAGAACATGAGTGTTGAAAAATCATATCAGTGGCCCAATTTAGCTGGGACACACTGATATACCTGCACGTCAATGCAAATAGATAATCAGCCAATGTATAAAGGTATGCAGACATGGTTAAGGGTTCAGATCAAACATCAGATGTGGTCTGATCTGTGTCACCATGGTTGGTGCCAGATGGGGTAGTTTGTCTCAGAAATGGCTGATCTCCTGAGATTTTTACGCACAGCAGAGTTTGCAGAGTTTTGCAAAAAACATAAAATGAGCAGCAGTTCTTCAGTTTCAAAGGTCTAGTTCAGCTGCATTCACACCAAATTTGGCATTGTGGTAGAACACCTCTCCTTGCATTCATTTCAATGTAAGTAGTGTGTCTAGGCTGGGGTGGAGGACCTGCAGGGGGTAGGCGGAAAAAGAACGCAGTGGCCTACAACAAAAAGTTGAAACAGATTCAACTTTTGGAGAAAGCAACTCAAATTTATGTTGAAGTGGCCAATTGGTAACCCGTGATCAGACCGGCAAGACACCCACAGTCCACAGTTACAAGTAATGAAGTCTCTTTCTATCAAAAAATATTATAGTGAATAAAATAAACAAATTAGGTATAAACAGCTTGTGTGTACTGTCCTACAAAGGAGAGCACCCACTTTGCGTTTGTGTACTTGCACATGTATATTTTATTGCACTAAAGATGCTACAATAATGATAGTTCAAGGAATTCTTCATAAGCCAACATAAACTCACTGAAATCAAATACTCAGTTGCTGAGATGGGCACACTGGCCTTCTATAGTTGGTCCTCACCCTCCACTCTCCCACAGATGGGCCTTTTAAGTGACTCTCCCACACACTGCGGCTAATTGCTGCAACACCTGATTTGGTGTGAATGCAGTTTACACCTCACTGGAGACGTACAAAGTAACAGCTTGCTTGAAGACCCCCACCATCATCCCTTTCCCCCAAAAAACAAGGACTACAGGATTTAACAACTACAGACCCATCACCCTGACCTCCTTGTCCTCCTGGTCTTGAAGTCAAGCACCCTGTAATGTCTTACCTCCAAACAATTACCGGCCCACCCCTGGACCCCCTGCAGTTCATCTACAGAGCAAGCAGGTCTATAGATGGTGCAGTCAGCATGGGCCTCCATTTCATCCTCCAGCAACTGACCTCCTCAGGAACCTAAGCCAAGGTCCTGTTTGTGGACTTGAGTGTTGCCTTTAACAGCATCATCTGTTGCAGGACAAGCTCTTTCAGTTGAGTGTGCCACACTGAATTCCTGTCTGACAAGAAGCATCATGTGAAGCTGGGGAAACACATCTCTGACTCCCAGACCATCAGCACTGATTCCCCTCAAAGCTCAGTCCTTTCTCCTTTACTCCTGAAGTTCACTAATGATACCACCATTACAGGGTTCTTAAATTAGGATAAGTCCCCCTACAGGTAGGAGAGGAACCATCTGGTGACCTGGATGGACTGAACAACAGCTGACTGCTCTAAAAACAGTGGAGATGGTTGTGGATTTTAGGATGAACGCAGCCCCACCTACCCCTGTCACTTTTGTGACTAACCAGTTGACACTGTGGAGTCCTTGGGCACCACCATCATCCATTACCTTATGTAGGAGCTAAACATCAGCGCCCTTGTCACACAGAAGTTCAACCTGCTAAAGACAGTGATGGTGCACTTCTACACCACCATTACTGAGTCCATCCTCACCTCCTACATCACCATCTAGCACGCTGCTGCCACTGCCAAGGACAAGGACAGAATGCAGGTTATAATTCACCCTGCAGAGAACGTGATTGGCTGTAATCTGACATCCCTCTAAGACCTGTACACCGCCAGGACCTCAGGAGAGCAGGAAAGATTGTGGCTGACCCTTTCCAACCTGGACACAGAAAACAGTTTCTTCCCATCTGCAGCTGCCTCATCAGCAAGACCCAGGACCCCCCTCACAGACTGAACTCACCCTATAGATACTATACATAACATTAACGTCAAGTTTCCACATCTATCAAAATGTATTACATTTTCTGTACTTTATACTGTGAACTTTTTTGTTTTGAACTATATTTGCACCTGCAAAACACTGTGTAGCTCATTGATTTTGAAGCAGGTTTATTTTGCGTTTTTACAGTATTTCTTTTCATATTTTATTTTTAATTTTAGAATGTTTTCTATTCTATTTTTGACTCTGCTTGACTTTACAATACCTGATTTTTATTTTTATTTTCTCTTAAACCAAGACACCGAGGCAAAGTCCCTGTCAAAATCCTGATTTATTCTGTTTTCACTTCATAGCCAACACTGCTCCAGTTTTCCACCTCTCCACTCCATCATTCATTTGTTTCTTTGCTGTTTTCTCTCCTCTTCCACCACTTTTACCTTCCCTCTCCTTTCCAATCCATTTGCTCAGGCTGAGGAAATCGTTCGCCGCGAGTTGGAGAAGAAGGAGACGCCCAGTCTGTACTGCCTCCTGGGAGACATATTGAGGGACCATCAGTACTATGACCGAGCATGGGAGCTTTCGGGCCAACGCAGTGCCAGAGCCATGCGCTCCAAAGCCCTGCTGCACCTTCGCAACAAGGAGTTCCAGCAGTGCGTGGACTGCTTTGAGCACTCAGTCAAAATCAACACTATGCAGGTACAAGCAATGCAGTCCTCTTAGGATGCATTAAGTGACCAGTGTTGTGCAAGTTACTTAAAATTAGTCATTAGTTAGAATTACCAGTTACTTTTCTCAAATGTAATTGAATGACATTGCCACTTAATGCATATGAAAATAATTAGTTACTAGGGACAGTGACTTTTGTGTTACTTTAACATTTCTGTTTAGATTCTCTTATTAATGAACAGACATTATTTTAGTGTTGATATGACAAAGTGTGGGACAAGACAACTGTCAGTTTTCATTATTTTATAATTGTACCCATTATCACTGTGATGAAGAGAAAGTAACAAAACAATAAAACATAGTATGTTTTGATAGGCTTATTTATTTTAGCCTTGTCAGCCTTTTAATGAAAGTCAAATTGCCTGGACTGTCGGCCACTGTGTGCAATGACAGTCTAATTGGGTGATAACAGGGAATATGCTACATTTATCTGCTATGATCAAGACAAAAGTTACAAGAAACATGCCCATTAAACTTCCAGTATCTGTAATGGCATTATTTTGTTTGAAAAAGTAATTAGTTACTTTTCCAGTTACCACCAGAAGTAGTGGCATAATGGTAACATGTAACTCCCAACAGAGGAAGTGACTCTGTTGAATTGAAGTTAATTTGAGCTTGTTAGCATGCTGACAGTAGGATTTTGTCAAAGCAGTCTCAAGTAGAGCCTAACAGAGCTGATAGCATTGCTGTGAGCTCTTGGCAGCTGAAATACATGGGACATGGATGCAACATGCTATGAAAGCGGGGCAGAGCAGGGATTTTTACCTGCCTCACAGACTCTATCTCTGTAGCGTGTGTTTGCTGCCAGCCTCTGTGTGCGTATTGAGTTTTTACAAGTGATAATGCAGCTGGTTGTGCAGGCTTTGGAGGTGTCCATTATATTTACTGGTACTGAATTCATTAACTGGATCGTTTAAACTACAGCATCACAAATGCATTCATTGATTATTTTTCATGTAAAGACTCCCACTGTGTTGCTCTGCCGTGTCATATTCTCTCTGTTAAAGAGAAATATTTATTTTAAACAGAATGTTCTTGTTTTTTTTTACAGCTCTTTGTAGTTTTTATCAGTTGTATTGCCACATAGCAGCAGTGCATTGAGAAAAAGTTAGACCAGCCAGGTAAAAATAGAGATGAGCAGCACAATGCTCATGCAAGTGATCGCAGCTTCTGTGGTCAGTGTAGCAGCCTCAGTTCATTATAATAGACTCGTTTGAGATGAACTGCACCTCATCTGGAAAATGAATGAGATCAAGTTGCAGCAGCAGGGGGTGGTGACAGAAAACAGCAGTCAAGTTGGATAGTTTCTCGACAGTTTCCAGCAGCCTTCAGTCACAGAAATACTCACATCCTGTTGGATTTAATTCCAATTTATTAAAATTTTGTCAGAACCCTATATCAGCTTATTCTTCAATGGGATTTATACTTCTGCATTGAATTGATGCTGTACCTACGACCTAGGCTCTGTATTGATGCAGAGCCTATGCTCTAACATATGTGGTAGCCTGAAGTGCACCTCCCCAAAAATGTAATTACATGGGGCAACGCAGACTGCAGTCTTTTTGTGGTAAGTTGAAAACCATTCCCCTCAGTAAAAACTAATACTTACTTTAATGTCAAAGATTAGAAACAATAAATTGTTAAGACAATAAAGCCCCCACAAAAAAGCATTTTAAGTCATATGAGCAGAGGAAATCTCCACTAGTCGCTAGGCTAATTTGTACAATTTAAAATGCCATAGGCTTGTGCTAATAATGTTAGCATGTTGTAATTATTTGGAAAGCATGTTTAATGTAAGACAGTTGTTTTGTCAGTGGACCTTGTGAGCTGTAGTGGAACTGAGTTTGTAATGTTACCTTTGTTGAATGTTGCTGTTGTTACTGACTTCATATGAGTAGAGGAAAATTACGCCAGCCACTAAGCTAATTTATACCATTTAAAAAGCCATAGACTCGTGCTACTAACAGTAGCATGTTGTATTTGTGGGGAAAATGTGTCCAGCAAAAGACAAGTGCTTTGTCTGTGAATCCTGTAAGTTATAGTGAAGCCAAGTTGTGTATTTGTAATTGAAATTGTCCCTATCAAGCCATGTTTAATGTGTGTTTTGGGGGTGTTTTGACTCAGCTGAACTTTACAGCACTCAAAGAAACCCCACAGCCAACTAGTGTTTTCGCTACAGGACGACATAGAATAGAATAGAATAGAATAGAAAGCCTTTATTGTCATTGCACGGGAACAAAGGGATGCTACATATACAATAAAATTGCGGGGGCTACTTCTAAGGTGCAGATAAGAAATACAGATAACTAATTGCATTTGCATAGCAAGCAACATTTATGCAACAGGATTGTTGCGTAACACAAGACAATAAATAACACACAATATAAAATAAGTAGCGCACAATGTAAAATATGTAGCATAAATGCTAAGTGACAGGTGAGGATTTTATCCATATGCATAGTTGTGTGGATTTACAGAGACCACAGACACTACAGCACAAGTATAAACGCTCACAATGGCGTAGGCCATGTGCGTAGGCTGTGGCGTACACTCTGCACAGAGCTGACACACAAGTATAAATCTGCCTTAAGTCTCCAAGTGTTTTAATTATGTAGGAGTAGCCTGTTAAAATGCATCACCAGCTGTCTGTAATTTCTGTTCATAGTTCAACTTTAATTTCATATCAGTTTGCCGCTGTATATAAATCAGCTGAGCAAACCTGTCACCCTCAAACTACAGAAATAAATTAAAAACATCAATAGTCAAACCTAGAGGAAGGAAAAACAAGACAACAGTTTTCATTAAACAGCTGTCAGATATAGTCAGGGCTTCACATCTGTTCAGATGTTATTTTAAGAATCCTCACATCCCACTTCCACAAATCATGGTGTTGCTATACACTTAAAAAGCATGATGATTAAAACAGTCCAGTATGTTTCTCTTGTTCTGCCAATGCTGCTCTGACAGTTCATGTGCGTACAGTATTACATCTTGGAGACACATTGTGTTAATTTTGAGGACGTGCACTGTCATCACTCCAGACAGACACAGGATTTAAATAATCCCTGACTTTTGCTAGCAAACAGCTTTTAGAGTGTCTTTTTGAAATATCTCTGCATATAGATAATACATGGATTCATTTGTATTGTTTCACCCTATTTGTGTCATGTGTGTCCCTGCGTGTGTGTGTGGACAGCTCGGCGTGTGGTTTTCCCTCGGCTGTGCCTACTTTGCCCTGGAGGGCTATGAGGGAGCTGCCAAGGCTTTCCAGAGGTGTGTGGGACTAGAGCCAGATGTAAGTACCTACACACACGCAAAATGTCACTGACTACATCATAATGTGGAAAAGTACAAGTTTGTGCATGGAGAGAATAACAATCCCACCAGTCTCTCACTGTAACTCCTCTTCCTTCGTTCACAGTCCTTGTCTAGAACACACACGCACACACACGCACACACACACCACACAGCAGAATTTGCAACACCAATGCTCTTTCTTCACACCAGCCCTGCACCTTTTGACAGCCTTTGTGCATAATTGTGTATTTTAAAAACTGCATTTTCTAGTATGTTCCATACTATTATTATTTATTAATATTCTCTACCCTTCTTACTATTTCCTTTCCTTTTTCAATTTCTTACCCCCTCCTCTTTTCAGAATGCAGAAGCGTGGAACAACCTCTCTACAGCCTATATTCGCCTCCAGAAGAAGTGAGTAAGAGTATGAATATGAAAGCTGTAAGAGCAGCCTGTGTTAAGGTATTTGCATTGGTAGTACTCGGTACTGTTTTGCCCAGAGACAGCCTACATAGTATGTGGCATTGACCCAAAGAGGTGCTGAAAACAGTCTCTTAAAAAAATCTTGAATTGGGGTGTCGATAGCGTAGTGGATAGTGCCGGCGCCCCATATACAGATGTGATGCCTCACTGCAGCGGTCGCGGGTTCGACTCAGGCTCACAACCATTTGCTGCATGTCATCCCCCACTCTCTCTCACTCCCCCATTTCACTCTCTCCTGTCAATTAAAGGCAAAAAGCCAGGAAAAAAAATCTTAAAAAAAAAAATAAAAAATCTTGAATCTTCTGATTATTAACATGATGTCTTACACACTTGCTGCACATTTGTTGGCATGCTGTGAATCTCCTGTTCCACCACCTCTTTAAGACTTTAAGATGGACTAAGATCTGGTCTGTGGAGTCCATTAGACTATACTGACAGTCCTTGACAAATTTCTCTGTAAAATTAAATATTCAAGGTTAAATATACAGTTAAAGTTAGAAAAAATACATCTTAAAAACACCTGAGCCTTACTTTCCTGTTCTTAGCTGAGTGGAACCTGCTGTGGTCTTCTGCTGCTTTAAGCCATCTACTTCAAGGTTCAATGAAAATATTTACATATGTGAGCAGCAATACAGGTGTACCTAATAAAGTGGTCACTGAGCGTATTGTATACTTTTTCCCCTATAGGTGCAGTAATTTTACGAGACAAGAGAATTATGTAATTGCAGTTGTAATTGCGTTAGGAAGACAAAATAATGCAAATGAATAAGACACAAACCCATTGAGAAAAACATTCACTGATTTGATGATGCACTGCAGCAACACCTGAATTTGTCTTCTGGGGATCAGTAAAGGCTCATCTTATCTTAATGCATAAACAGCATGAAGAAATGAACCGCACAAGCAAGTAAAGAAATGCTGCAAATTGTACAGAACAAATTGAAAATGTTTTTTTATGGCAACGTTATTTTTGGTATACCTGAAGGTGCTAAATCACGGGTATGTATGGGACAAAGTAACGTTCTTTAAGCCTGAGTTCTTTATGGCTCTGGCTCTGGAAAGGCATGGTCATGTTCACACAGACGTGGCTCCTTGTGCTGTGTTTATTTCCCATCAGAGAGAAGGCAGTGAAAGCAGAGAGGAACAAAATAAATCCTGAGTGTCTCTGAGCCTTTGTTTACACCAGACTCGTGCTTTCAGGCCTGAAATTGAAAAGCAAAGCAGGAAAGCTTCTAATAATACCTGGTTAGCACCACTGCCAATTCAGCAGAAGCACTTTTAACTTGTGTGTGTGTGTGTGTGTGTGTGTGTGTGTGTGTGTGTGTTTGTGTGTGTCTGGCAGCAACATTGTATTTACTTTTCAATCCTTCACCAAATGTTAGAATTAATGTTATTGTAACGGTTGTTAATGGATTTGGCACAGCAATTTTTTCACTGCTAACTTTCTCACTCTTCTCTTCCTGTCACCATCATTGGCAGAAACAAAGCCTTTCGTACCCTGCAGGAAGCCCTAAAGTGTAACTTCGAACACTGGCAGATCTGGGAGAACTTCATCGTTGTAAGCATTGACATCGGGGAGTTTGCTGAAGCCATCAGGGCCTACCATCGCTTGATGGACCTCAGGGAAAACTACAAGGACATCCAGGTAAAGAAGTGCACTTAACATCATCTCAGGTGCCATTATACTTAACTCTCTGATAGTATGTATTGCAAGGAATGAATGTATCATACAACTGTGACTCAAAAGGATGTCACAGTGAATGATGTCTGATTTTCTGATTTTTTTCTCCTTACAGCCAAACAGCAGCTAATGTTCAGATTTCACTCTACTTTCATGGACTTGTACTTTTTGACACTGCTGTGAAGTAATCCCTGCAGTGCTGTATACAGGCCTTTTTTCCCTTGGGGATTAATAAAGTATATGAAATTTAAAAAAAAAAGAATAAAAATTATATTCATCATTCCCACCCAGCAGTCCAGTCCAGTTCAGTTCACATCAGATCAGTTCAGTTCAGTTCAGTTTTGTCAAACATTAGAATGGTTATTTATGCGTTTCCATTGTCAGAAGTTGTAGATGGTACCAGTAGAACCACTAATTTCTGTCCCGTTGCGGTACATGTCCGTACAGGTCACATACTAGTTCAAAGGGTACTACATCTCAACTGTGAAAACAGGGCTTAGGTCTCCACATTCTTGTGCTTTTCTTTTTTCTTTGAAATATGAATAAAATATGAACCTAGATTCTGTTACATATTTTGATTTACAGTTTAACTGTAATTAGAGATCATTTGTTACCTTTTGGCCACCATATTGTTTCCTGTGAAAAAAACAGCCAAGCTTGCATTACATCAACCACCAGCGGGAGCATTTGTTGGTGCAGTGCGTTGCAGGGCATTCGGTTAGGTCTTTTTTTACCTCTTGTGGAAGAACAAATACCATGGCTTTTTTTTCCTCTGTTTTCTGTGATTATGTCACACAGAAGTATTTGCGTCTTTCTACTGTACAGACAGCCCAGTTGTATGAAAAGACCATCTTTCAAGCAGTGAAATACTTCTTTAATGCTCTAGTGGGTAGGATTTAGGTAGATCTACCATAAAACTCAAATTTAAAGCTTAGTCCCAGTCAAACTCCCAGTCTCTTTTACCAGCCCGGTGTGGCTACACATTTTGACAGATAAAGGCCTGTCTCAGTAAGAAGCCCAGTCTGGTTGCCAATCAGTTCATTTTTGGGATGTATTAAAATGGGTTGTTGGTTACCCACTTCTTCGATTGCACATACAAATAAATATGTTAAACTTTTGTCAATATGGCAGTGCTACACATTGTTAACTCAGTTAGATTCTCCACAGTTTAATTGTTCACCTAACAAGAGAATCAAAGGAGTTTTTCGTAAAAACTTTTCCAAGTTATGGATATTGTTTTAACAGGATTCAGTGGTGTTGTGTCAGTATGCCTTGTGCCATAATCCTCTCTAATGCACTGTCTGTCAGAGCTTGATCAAGTGAATGTTTCGTAATTGATATGTTACTGGAAGCCTAATTTTTATCCAAGTAATATTCATACTGGTTCAAATAAACAGTTTGATTGTATTTCCTGATCTTTGCTGAGCAACAGTTTTGTGTGAAATGTGCCATATAGATGCCTGTCCCATATATAAGCCTGTTTAGTTTAATGACTTAAGCAAATAATAGCCTGGGCTACTAATTGAAGTTTTATGGTATTTGCAGAAATTGGATATAATACTTTTTATTAGCATATAATCACCTGAGGCCAAGGATCATATTTTCAGTAGTTTAGACTGAGCCCCCCATATCTCCATAGGGAGTGGGTCCTCTTCTAGTCATCTGTCCTCCGCCATGTTTCTACAGTAGTGTAGAACAGATAAACCAAATGCTGGCTCTAGATATGTCCCTCTCACGTTTTTATGTTATCTGAAGGCCACCCTAGGTTCTTTGACACACTTGGAAAGGGAGGGGTAAGGGAAGGGGTATTCAGTTGGTTGCAATCTGCAAACTCACTTCTAGATGTCACTAAATCTTACACACTGCCCCTTTAAGCACACTTCAGTAACATCACAACCACAACACATTCTAAGCAGAAAAATTAACCAAAACAGCAAGTGGTAGCATTTTCATGATTATTTATGCTCTGCTTGAGCCCTGTATTAATTTTAGTGTCATAGTTTGTAGCATTTAAATTGGGAGTGGTTGAAATCACAACTGTGACTCAGTAAGACATCCTGTGTTTTCTGGAGAAACTACCACAAGTTCACATTTCTGAGTGTAACTGCAAATGATTTTACATTAAATTTCCTTCCTTTTGGTGTGTCCCTGTTTTGTCTGCCTTGTTTTAGACAAATTTTCACCCAGCATGTTCATGAACATGCTGGGCGTGTCACCACCAGTCACATCAATTAGGGTGCAAGATGTAAAGGTTGAGAGGGTCAGCAGCAGCCTCTGTGTTCCAAGCAAATAATTAGTTAGTGGAATCTGGCTTTGCTCTGTTTCCCTCCTTCTCTTCATTTTTAAAATCTGCTCTTACAAGTCAAATGCACAATATTACACATTAATACAGACTGCTGAGAGTACATATGGTTGGTTTTGGATTTGACAAAACTTTACTGTATTTCAAAGATTAATATGCTTTATCTTGAACCTGTGGTTTCAGTACTGGGCCTGTCACAATAACTACTTTTGTTTGCCTCTTGTTCCTTACTTTGAACCCAGGTTATGCATATTTTAACTAACAAAGTGGAGTTGGACACGCCCTAAATGCATTTGCACAATACACTTTAGGCAATGCACTAAAAATAATTTGAGTAGGGCCTCTAGTATCAGCTTAATCGCCCTTCAGCAGCCAATTGGGAGGCCTCGCTGAACCAAACTTTAAACTTTACTATTTAGCATTTCAGTTAAAGGCTTGCAGGGCTTGATCGGATGAGAAATCGAAAGTCCTGGCATTCTCTTGACATAGGTCTTACTAAAGTTCATAAGCTACAGGATATCCCCTTTTCAGGTTGGAGCCAAACCAACACAACTCTTTGACTTGACCCTACATGAAATATAGAAAAACTTCTCGGCTATCGACATAGTAAATCAATCCCACTTACAGACATACAGTTTGGGATTTCTCAGTCATATCCAACCTTTGAAAATTTGTGACTCAAGCTACACTTAACATCACTGAAATTCGGTGTTCACAGAGACAAGATTATCTTCATCTTTTTTCAGCAGAAATATTCGATGGATGCTTTTACTGCAGCCACAAAAGACAATCTTGGAACTCCAGATGAACCCTGATTTACAATCGAAAAGGTTTTGGTCATATTCTTTGCTCAATATTGCAAACCTAGCATAGACTACAGCTAGCTTTAACAGAATTCAACCTTCAGCTATTGCAACATCATCAAAATGTATTGGTAAAATAAAGTCATTTATAATTGAGGTAGATGCAGGGTTTATTTTTTAGGGGTCCAAGCCCCGAAGGGGTAGAACCCTGTTGGTTTGTTCCAATTTAGTATTTTTATGTCATCTTCCACTGCGATTCAAAACCATGGCTCAAAACACTTGGCCCAGTAACTGGAAATGATATGCACATGCTTCCCCAAAAATATAAATCCAATTGTCCAGATGGTGGCACTGTAATTAACACCCAAAAAACGCAGTCTTTTAAAGGCCAATCTCCTCACACCGTAAGACTGATTGACTTAAAATCTGGCGCACATATCCAGGTCATATCCAAGACTCTGTCAACAGTATATTTGGTTTAAGAACTTGTGGGACAGAAATACAGATTTCTCTCATAAATGAAAATCTCACCAAGGAGGCGCTTAACAGGAAATAGGCCATGGGTGGAGGAGCCCTTCTGTGCGGCGTTTGCATGTTCTTCCTGTGTGAGCGTGGGTTTTCTTCAGGTACTCCTGCTTCCCCCCACAGTCCAAAGACATGCTGGTTAGGTTAATTGATGACTCTGAATTGTCCGTAGGTGTGAATGTGAGTGTGAATGGTTGTCTGTCTGTCTCTCTATGTTAGCCCTGTAATAGTCTGGCGACCTGTCCAGGGTGTACCCCGCCTGTCACCCAGTGTCAGCTGGAAGGGCTGCATTCTGACATTTTCAAACTAACCCAACAAATGGTGAACATTGACGGTCAGATGACATATTCAGGTAACAGATTTAAAATGTTTTTCTGTAAATAAGAACACTGTGGTGCAATTATACCAACCATTCTAGTGTTGGATATTTTGTGCCAAATCAAAGTGTATATTTATAGCAAAATGTTGTTCTACATCACTATTTTCTCTTTCTGTAGTGCAGCTTTAATTAAATATACCACTGGCCCCTCTCCCCTGCCTTCCTCAGTAAAACAAACCTGTCAAAACGTCACATAAAAGTAGTCTCTTTACTTCAAAAGACTATTCTATTTTTACCCTTCTATTTTTACTACCATCCATCTCAAACCTTGTAGAAATAGTGGTGACACTTCCCCTCTTTTAACTACATAATCAGATCTCAGGCACATTTTTAGAAGCTGCATTTCTGCCTTATTCTATTTCATATTTTTTCCCCTGTGGTTGTTTTAAGCCCACAGCAGCAGAGCTGGAGCAGTAGTAAAGAAGAGATTATGACAGGGACCACCATGAACTCCTCTCTATGGAATGTGTAGACTAAGGGCTGGTGACAGAAGTGCTTTGACTGGCTGGTAGATTTCAAAGGAGATGCGGGTCACATGGCCCAGCTCTATGCCTCATGGGATTAAATGGGATACAAAAGAACACACACACACACACACACACACACATTCACACATACTGTAGACACTTTACAAAAAATCCATTGGAAAAAAAATGAGTTTTTCCTCTTTGTCATTGTTGTGATCTTAAAGTAAACTTCAAAATGAGCTTCATAGAAAATTCAGGCCTGTCATTTGTGTTATTCTCCCTTTTTTCTCAACAGAGAGGTTATTACCAGTCCTCTTAATTTCACACTTTAACTGGATCTAGCAGGAATCAGAAAAGTCATCCACTCAGCTTTCACATTTCTTCACAGTGATGGACAGCATAGGGGTACATCAGACAGAGTTCTATTTATGGATTTAGTCTTACTCTCATCACAGGAAATGTCACATCAAACAGACTGACATCAGAGACACTCTGGCAGATATTACAGTGTGTGTGTTGGTCTTTACACCTGTACCTTTTGCCTCCTCTGTGTCAAAAACATAGAATATATCCCCACCCCTGTCGCTTTTTGAGAAGCAAGTTTCGGGCAGCCTGTGTTCAGGTGTGAAGAGATGTGCAGGAGGGGGTGGTAAAAACTCCTCTGCATCATCTTGCATGACGTCTGACATGACATTACAAAGTAAGTGTGCTTTATAGCCTTCCAGTTGATTTACCTTAATTGTCACTGCAGTAAAAGGGCTCTCAGTCACTCACCAAAGAGGCCCTACAGGTGATTCCTCTGTTACCGGTGGAAGTTGGAGATCTTATTGATAGCAGATCTCCGCTGGAACGGATAATATTCTAAAGGTCCAGTATGTAGGATTTAGAGGCGTATATTGGCAGAAATAAAATATAATGTAATGAATATGTTTTCTTTAGTGTATAATCACTTGAAATCAGAATCTTGTTTTGGTTACCTCAGAATGAGCTGTTTATATCTACAAAGGGAGTGGGTCCTTGTCTATGGAGATTGCCATGTTGCACCACCATGTTTCTGTAGTAGCCCAGAATGGACAAACCAAACACTGACTCTAGATAGGGACATTCGTGTTTTTACATCGGCCAACATAGTAAGCAGCCCCTCCTTGATGAGAGCGTCGGAAAATACAGTTTTGCTTTAGTAAGTGTTTTTACCAGTTTAAATCACCTGGTGTGTTTTTTTTGGAGAAGAAGAGACTCCTGTAGAAACCTCCTGAACAATGAACACTGAAGGAATTCTAACCAGGAGAAGTTTCAGCTGGTTGCAAACTGCAGATGCCACTAAAGCCCTGTTTCCATCAAACACTTTCCAAATTGGAACCAAAAGTAACCCAGACATTTACCTAGACCCTGGATCTGTTTCGTATTTCCACCTTAGACAGTACTCTTAAAAGTGGGCGGGATTGTTGTCACTCACTTCTCCGTCCAGCACTCGCTGTATTTCCTCTCCACCTTTGACACAGATGGAAGTCCGCCCCTTGTTTATTGTCCACAGAATGAGGTTGCACACCAGCATTTTATAGAACAAAAAGAACAGGCTGGAGAGAGATTCTCTCTATGGAATATTAAAAAATTGGGGGTTTGAGCATTTAGTCCTTTTAAGGGAAGCACAGGGGTTTAGTGTTGCCGTAGCAGTTGTCATACTGACATTTAAGGTGTGTTTCAAACCATCACCTCATGTATTGAGTTACATTACAAGTAAACATTCCACTTTAAAAGTTGTATCTTCTCTGTAGCCTTTCATTTTATAGTTGACTAATATGTTTGAAAAACTTGCCAGGGTATGGACAGTGGTCACATAAAAGCTTCTAAACCAGCCACAACTCAGCCTTGAGTAAGGGTGACCATCCTCTATTGACCAAACAATGAACTGCAGTGTTTTTAGCCCCCTAACAGAGGGGTGACCAATACTGGGGACCATAAGGAACGGTTCTACAGTATTGGTACCATCCAAAACTTTTCACAAAATGTGTACCAAACTGAACTGTATTGCATGCTTGGTGGATACGGGGCTTAAATCTTACTCACTTTGCCTTTAAAAGAAGACAAGGGGGTGGTGGGAGGGAGAAAAATTTGAAAGAGCGACCCCTCAGAGAGAGGGTTGGTATTAAAGGGTGACAATGGTGGATTCACCCTCCCATCTACTTAACCTATGCATTGACTCTCACTCATGCTTTTGAGTATCTCTGTGTTTAAAGGCACCCTCCATTATCAGCATTTCTTATAAATTGTAATCCTTACAATTTCCATCCTGGTTGATTGACAGTGGTCACACATGCAGTTTAATACTATAGCAAACACTTGATGAGCAGCAACTGTGTCCAGATTACAACAGAATAATTGTAGTTGTTGAAAGTGCTGAAAATGACTTGTTTTGTAGATGACAATCAGGGTCAGTGCTAACTGTAATGTCAAATACAACACACTTTCTATGAATGCTTCACAATAAAAACCAACCCATGTTTCATCAGCTGAACACTTGTATTATGCAGCAACAGTGTTCTCTGATTAGCAGTAACTTCACCAAGCTCTGACATGTTGTAAAGAGAGTGAATTACATGCTGAATTGTTTCCTGTGAAATAGGCCATCTGAATTCATTGCAAGGATGGTGGGCTCCTGATTTAACCTCTGATTGAGGTGTAACCAGAAATATTAAATGAATAGTTTCAACTCTTTAGAGAGCAGTGCCAGTTTTCTGCCCTGTGTGTGTGTGTGTGTGTGTTGACTTTTTCTTTCAACACAAGTGTATCATTAGTAGATAACAGTGGTAGATTGGTGTAATTACCATAAACTAGGGTGACCATGATAGGGATAATTATGCCATCATGCATGCAAGTGTTTGTGAAAATTAAAACCACATTTCCCATAAACCCAGTTACTTTCCTTCCTGCCACTCCCTCACTGGTTTCTTTGGCAGTGCTGAGCAATACTGCTTTGAAATCACAGTAATTAAAGGATTGCATGTGTAATTCAAACCCAATGACATCACATATAATGACACATATAAAGACTTCATCAGTTGTGATTTTTCTTTTGTTAACACAAATCTGATGTTTGTACCATTTGTTTTTCTCCATTGCAGATTCTACAAATCCTGGTTCGGGCAGTTGTTGAAAACTTGATGGACAGTCATGGCGAGCAGGCAGTGACTCAGCAGTCCAAAGTGAAGGAGCTTTTGGGCCGGGTCAGTTCCCGCCACAGCAGTGACTCTGAGATATGGCAGCAGTACGCTCTGCTGTACGGAGATGGACACAGCTCTGACCCAGAGGACAACGAAAAGGTTGGTGCCAGTAGTGATAACATTGAAAGTGTACTGACATGCAATGATTGGGTTGATTTGATAAGATGAAATGTCACGCTATCGACCGAGAGTCGTCAGCTTTAAAACACAAAATGAGCAAAACCCATGACTGCACTTGACTTCTGTGTAGCTACGTACTATGATGGTGGTGTTATTGTGTGGTTTTTCAGGCTCTGCAGTTCTTGTCCAAGGCTCATCGCTGCAAGGTTCAGACTGGTGGCTGGGAGAAAGAACCTGCTCTCTTCAAGGAGGTGATCAAGAAAGCCATCAATATGGGTGAAGGTAAGAGCACCACCATCCACACAGAAAGCTTTGTGTTTAATTCCAGGGAACATTTATGTATGATCTTTGATACCCTGCTACAGACAGAGATGGGCAAAAATACACCAAAATGTATTTTTATACAAAATACAAAATACCCCTCAAATGTATCAAAATAAAATACAAAATACTGGTGCCAGAAATGTATCAAAATAAAATACATGTATTTTGTATTTTCAAATCCAGAAAATACCCGCAGCTCTATAGGTCACTCTGTCAGTTGGTCAGTCGGTCCACAAAGCTTTTCATGAATAACTCAAAAAGTCCTTGACCAAAAATGCTCAAAATTTGCATACTGCAACTAGAGACCACAAGTAACTATGCCAGAAAGAACAACCATGATTCATCCATTAATGGCGTGACAGTAGCAAATGTGGTCGCAACTACTGCAAATTTGCGCTATTAGGTATAGCAGAGTATTCAGGTTTGGGCTATAGCATATACACAAAGCTCTGGTGAACCCCGCAAAAAGGCAGAACAGTCACAGGACTAAGTGTAACTAAGAAAAGCCATTAAAAGACAGCAACTTGATTATGTATGTATGTGTGTGTGTGTGTATATATATATATATATATATATATATATATATATATAGCTATATATATATTTATTAACCAGACTTAACAGTCCATAAACTTTTTTGTATCAACAAATACAATAGTCACAGACACTGTGATAATAACATATGAATAGCATTAGGCCTATGTGTACTATAAAAGTCATATAAATAAAAACATCAAGCTCTGCACAGAAAAATTAATAAAAATAAATGGTTAATGAATACAAAAGTGAACAGGTAGGCTAACTTAAGTACTAACTTAGCAAGTGAGTAGCCTATACATTTGTCTCTTTTGTTGGCCAGTGGGATGGTGTCTATTTTGGTTCTTGAGACCCAACCACTGACAACAACAGACAACTTTATTGATCCCACGTGAGGCAATTCATTTGTAGCATACTCATCCCAAGCATCAACCACAACAACATACAATTTCCTATGTTACGCACAGTCCAATAAAACAGACCACTAGGTCATTGAAGGGCACATTGAATGGCCCAAGTTTAAAAAACATATAGATAAAAATATATATGTTTTTAAAAAAGTAAAAAATATTGTTACATCTAATATTATAAGCTTGTGTAGCCTATTATTTTTGTTTTTTGATTCGTGGAGAAAGTATTTTGAGTATTTTAAATACAAAATTACTCCACTCAAAAGTATTTTGTTTCAAATTACATTTGCTTTTTATTGGCCTTATCAAATACAAATTACAAAATACTCAAATGTAATTGAAATACGTATTTTAAATACAAGTAATAGAAATACTGCCCATCTCTGGCTACAGAGTCTCACTTTTGCCATGACTAAACCATTTCAGAATACTTTCTAAGAGGAGATTACGATCCCAAAGGTCACGTTAAGGGGAAGACCTGCTTACTACCTTGTATTGCTGACAGAAATGGTGTACCAAGCAGAGGTTGAGCTAGATTTTTTCGTTGCCGGTCATTTTGACCGACAGGGTTGTAAAAATCCGGTCATAATCTATTTTTACCGGTCATTTTAATTTTCATTTTTAAATGATAATAAAGATATTCAAAGACATTTAGTTTTCATTCGTTCGTTTTCATAAATCCAACAAGCAAGTTATAAAGTCTGCATTAATAAGGACATGAACGAAAAGATGAACAGACATCCACACACCACAGCGCTTCAGTTCGGCGTCTGGTCTATACGTGAGCCGTGAGCGCTTCTGTCAAGCTGGATAGAGCGGATCGTACCAAACAGGAAGTCGGACACAGAAAAGACAAGAGAATCCGGCCAATTTTCAAAATAAAATAACAACAGCATGCACTGAGGAACGTGAGGGAATACCATGTTTATAATTTAAAATAACACAACAGTGCATAATCGAACACATTTTTCAATAGCCTAATCACTTCATTACAATTTTAATTTTGTGTCACTGAGCCTACAGACTACATAAATAAAATGGTCAGAACAGTATGCCCTATTCATTCAGTGTTAATCCAACACGCTCAATACATGGACTTGCAATGACAAATTGTCATTAACTTATTACGTTATAAAAAAGCGATGAAAATATGGACTTACCCATGTTTAAAATGAGCTGTTGATGTGAAAAAACGAGTACTGACGGGAACAGACGAGTGGAGTCGATGTTTAACCGGCGCGGAGAGTGCAGGAGAAATGCGCTGCCTGTGTGGACAGTCAAGCGCCTGCGAGTATACTCGCAGGACTTCTGCGGCACTAAAGCATCTGGTGTGTCCAGGCCGTTATGTTAACAACACTACATGAAGCAGATGAATGGCTTTTTCTCTGTAGTGTGAAAACGGCAGCCACTTACTTAAACCACTGACTGTGCACTCCGCAGCCAAGTGGGCAGCGGTTGTAATTGCAACCGGTCAAATGACTGACGGCCTTCAGATTTTCCGGTCATTGTTGTAAAAAACCGGTCAATGACCGAGAATATCCGGTTAACGCGACCCCTGGTACCAAGGGTTGTTAGCCATCATAATCAATACTTAGTGACCAGTTTATTGTAAAAACACCTAAACCTGGGGCCTCATTTATAAATCTCTAATTTACACAAAATGTTTGCGTATATACACATTAGTAAATGTATGTTCATCAAACAGGACACTACCTTACCTTTTTTTTAAATGTCAGATCTGAAAGTGGATGCCATAAAAACAGAATTGCACCCTGACATCTTTGCTAATTTACACCATCCATATGTGCAGGTGTTGAAATATGCCGAGTGAGAAGCAGAGTACCACAGTGTCTCCAGTGTGCTCTGTGAGTGCGCCTGACCGCACACTCGTGTTCCCTGCAGCTGTTTTACTCACAAAAACGATGTGAAAACTAAAATGGTACTTTGTGATATCTGCACAGTATTAGAGGAGATTACTGAAAACTGTTGACACAGTGTACTGCATTTATTTAATGCTGTTTGATGTTATCTTGGATTTCTACAACAGACAACGTCAATTTCATCAGTTAGCCTGGTTAATGTGGTTGAGGTGATAATCACTCAGTATATTCACGATTATTATTGGGTAAAGGAAAGCCAAACATTCCTGAATCCTGTCACCTGCCACAGCCTGACATCATCCACCTGCACACAGTGCTCTAAACAGCTGACCATGAGTGACAGCAGCGCCCCTCTCCTCTGTGCTCCAGTGGTTGGTGGGGAATGTCATGTTCAGACAGCGCTAATAAAATATTGAGCACAATTTGATTTGAGATTTAAGGTGTTCTATCTTTTGCAATCAAAAGGTGCTTATGGAAAAGGACTGTCTCACTGGCAGGAACACAAATAACACTGCTGCTTTTGGATGTTTATAAGGTGGGTCTATAAGAAACGTGTTATATGAGGTGACTGTAAATGTGTGAGAGATCATTATACGTAAAATGATTCCTCTCACATCTAATCTCCATAATCTGGTTTCAGTTCACCACCTCAATATCTGTGTCACCAATTTCACATGTGCGTATGCATGGGTCAGAGTTTCCTTAAATTTACGCACATTTCCTCATCAAGTTTTTTTTAATAAATCACAATTTATGCTTTTACAATGGCGTATTCACATTTCAAGCCCTTTTTTGTGCGTACAGAAATGGTTATAAATGAGGCCTCTGGAGCCCCTGGAACTTTTCCAGTAACCCAGAGACCTTTTTAGGAATTTGAGAACATTTCCTGGACTAAATTCAATTACTTTACCAAAGCTGTGAATCAGTAAAGTACATAGAAAAAAACTTGGCTTTTTTTTGATGACTCAAACAAAGCTGGCGCATTTCAATCCATGATCATGAAAAGTCACCAGATTTGATATTGATGGATATTAATCATTATTTAGGTTGTCAGCAAAGTTTTTTGGGGCCTAAATGCAGTTTCTTAGGTTTTCCCACTAAAACAAGAAAGGCTCAGAAAATTGATCATTGTCACTTTTTGATAGAGGAATACTGACTTTTAGCATATCTGTTCTGAGTATATAAGTATTACAGCAGGATGCCACAGTGCAGTTTAAGGGTACAATGATAAGTGTCTCCATATCTCAACCTGCACCCTGCACAACACATTCCACTCAGCTCCACTGACCCCATCGTGGGTGTGGGTGCTGTGTCCACACAGACTACAATCCTCCAAAGGAAAGAAAGCAAAGGACAGATAAATTAGAACAGGAGGGAAGTACCTTCATAAATCACGACAGGTTGACCTTTATAGTCACAACTTGGGCAGAGACAGGCTGCACTGCCAGGGAGGAGACAGTGACCGAAGCAGGAGACAGGAAACAGCTAGTTTTCCTTTTGTGCGGGAGAAACCTGTTCAACATTCAGATGTAGGAGGGTAGCACTGCAACAATTCGACCTATACTGCCCTCAGACCAGCTGCTGTCATCAAAGCTATCACTGTGTGAATAGGAAAACTTGTGTAGGCACCAGTTTAAGAAATGTACAGGATGAAGTGGTTCTACTGATATAAAGTGTGGAAATAGTGAATCCATCAGTGGATAAATCAATCAAAAGTAAATGAATCAACAATTGTGAAGATGAAGATTTTGACAATTTTAGGTTTAAGGTTGGATGAAAATCAGACTTCACCATCAACTCTGGGAACTCTTTCACAATCTTAGAGATCACAATCTCTAATTTCTAAACTAACTAAAGATCAGTAGATTAATTGATAATGAAAGTCTGTTAGGGGATAAACACCCATGGTGCACTCTATCTCCATCATAACAAAATCTCCATTTTAAATGGACATTTGAACAATTTAACCCTAACCTCCACATGATGCATCTCCACTGGGGGTTACATTGTTAATTATTTTTTCTTAGTTCAATATAGATGAGATGAGATGAGATAAGATTTATCATTATTGTCCTTGTACAGAGAACAAGTACAGAGACAATGAAATGCAGTTAAGCATCTAACTAGAGGTGCAAAAAGTGCAGTAATGTACAGAGTAATATAAATTATAAGCTGCATTATGTAGAATAAATATAGAATGTAGACTTTACATTAATTAGTTGAATATGTATAAACTAAGATATATACAGTATAATAATATTTGAAACAAACCTGACCGCTCAAACCCTAACCCTGCCCACCATCTAAGACTGTACACAATTATTGAGCAGACATACAGGTCCCTTTCATCAAGATTTACTTTGAGATGAAAATTTCAAATATTAAAATCATGAAGTTTAGAAGTTATATTTATAACAGCATCTCTGGAATTGTTCTAATGGTATTTTTTGTGTTAACAACAAAAACAATATCAATATAAAAGCCAAATTTTAAACATGTTCGATTTGAAAGTTAATTTGTACATGTTGTTATTTTACAATGTCATATGTTATTTTATTGTGTATTCTTCTGTACAAGTTAATTTGTGATTCTCTTTTTATTATTTATTGCTTTATGTTTATTATAACACATGCACAATACACATGTTACTGAAAGCAAATTAGCACATATTTCTGTCTTATTTTTAATTGTTAGATAGGTTGTTTATTTGCATTTTGGTAATAAATACGTAGTACTTTCACTGCATGTCAAAGGGGGGATCGCCTAGGGCACCAAATGTGCTTGGACCGCCACTGGGGAGTCAATCATGTTTAAATACTGCACATAATGTTATCAGATACGTCTGTGTACATATGTTTCACTCAAACTTTAGCACATTTTTTTGTCAATATATATTCACTATTTTGTTTTGGAGATGAACAGTGCCGACACATTCAGAGCTGGGTTTTTTTTGTTTTTTTTTACATGGTAAAATAAAATAAAAACATCCATAAAGGTGAAATATACTGAGTACATAGCAACTAATCTAACGGGTTTGGTCCATTGTCTCAATCTCTGTGTTTCTCAGTGACCATCAGTTGCTGTAAGAAGAAGGCTAATCCAACAGAAGCTGTACAGATGCTCTCATCCACCCGCCTCAGCCTCAAGAGTCTGGCCACTAAAGCTAAGGTACAGTCTACCAATCACAGTTCACTGCTCACCCTGAAGACTACCCCCTCATGCCCCTGTTTTCCATGACTCATGGCTAATGGTAGAGTGCATGGCGTCAAGACGTCACTGTGTTTTATTGCTTTTTCTTGCATCTTGAGTCTGAACAGGGCCGCCTCAGTGTCTTTAAGGAAATGTTGACCACATACTCAAGAAAAAAATGTTGAAGACATTCAACACTGCACAGAAAGTATAGCAGAAGATACACTGCAAGCTTTAGATGTCAGCTTCCTCACTGCTTGATGATGTTGCAGTGACTGGCATTGAACTATCACGTGCAGGCTTCCAAGTTTTGCTATAAAACCTCATTGGTTCTTAATCTCCCCTCAGTAATGCACAACACACAGGTAAACACTAGTCGCAGTAGGTAGCTCACATCAACCATCCATTCAGTGATGTCAACATGCATGTTGACATTTTTCTTTTCTTTTTCTTTCTTTTTTTTTTTTTTTACTAGATCACATCATTGAAGTCCATCAAGACAAATGGTGGACATGAGGGTTTACAAGCACCCAGGGGCTGTATTCACAAAGCTTCCTAGCACTAAGAGTTGCTTTGAGTGATGAAATTCTAAGAAAATTCTTAGTATTGTGACATTTTCTTAAAATTTCCCCTTAAAGTTAAGACTAGGTTCTTGTAAAGATAGACGTTATTCACAAAGTGTTTTAGCCCTTAAAACAGCTCCTAAGGTGAAAGACAGTAGGGAGGAGGACTTTTAAGAGACTTAAGAGTTTCTTAAGCGGAGGAGAAAAATGGTGGTGAGATGGAGAAGTTGGAGAAATGTTCTCCCAACACTGGGTGACTGTGAGTTAATGAAATGCTACAGATTAGATCATGCAGTGAGAGTATGTGCAGTCAATCTCATTAGGGATATGCACACATTACCAATGATATGGTCACAAGACTAAGATATCTGGAAAACTGGAAAAATGCAACAGTGCACCAGTGATGACTTGGGTCTCTCTCAGCCTTCCATCAGCAGAGTGATCACACTAACAGTAAGTGCGTTTCCACTTGGAAACACACTGACTTGGATTATACTGCACGAGTTGTGTGAGTATAATCCACGAGTTTAGCACATATTTTATAGCAATTTATTTTCTTTATGTCTCCACACCGGCAATAGCCATGGCCAGAAGAAATTTGTTTTTCGGTTGTCCATCTGTTCGCCCCATTCTCATGAACGCAGTATCTCAAGTTTGGCTTGTGGGAATTTCTTCAACTTTGGCACAAACGTCCACTTGGACTCAACAATGAACTGATTAGTTTTTGGTGGTCATGGGTCAAAGGTAAGGTCACTGTGACTTTGCCTCTAATACTCATGAATGCATCATCTCAAGAATGCCTTGAGGGAATTTTTAAAATTTGGTACAAAATTCCACTTCTGATTAGATATTGGTGGTCAAAGGTCAAAGTCACTTTGACCTTGCATCTGTCTCATTCTCATGAATATGATATCTCAAGAACATCTTGAGGAAATTTCTTCAAATTTGGCACAAATGAATAAATGAACAGTTTTTATTTCAGTTACATACATCTGGAGAAACAAAGATTATTTCACACAAATTTTCTTACAGTCAATAACTGAAAAAGAAAGAGGTTGAAGCCCCAGGCTTATTTTTGCCTGTCCTATATTAACCAAAGGAAAACTCAGAATATTAACAATACCAAAGAAAGAAAATAAACAAATTGTACTCTAAATTATAATCCTGGGTTATTTTATATTTTAATCATTATACATAATAATCCTTGATCATTTTACATTATAAGGCTTTTTTGAAACTCAACAGAGAGCTACACAACTTCAAATCAGCACTGAGTACATTCCATAGTTCGACTCCCTAAAATGAAACACATCAGTATTTTTCATTGGTTCTAATTTTAGATGTTTCATTAATAAACAATCTCAAATTATAATTTCCCTCTCTTAATTAAAAAAATGATTGAATACAGATGGGAAGGCTTTTGTTCACAACTCAGTGTTGCCAATGTTTTTAAATACACAATGTCTAGAATTCTTAAGGTGTAGGATGCTATAAACAGTTGATAAGTAGATTCGTGATAACCAGCTTTATGTATTATTTTAAGAGCTCTTTTTTAAGTTTGATTATAGGGTCTGTATTTGTTTTATATCTATTTCCCCAAATTTCAGCACAGTAAGACATATATGGCATTACAAGTGAACAACACAATATATACAAACATTTCTTTTTCAACAACTCCCTTGTTTTATAAAGAACAGCAGTAGACTTGGATAATTTCCATTTAATATGTTCTATATGTGGCTTTCAATATAGTTTATGATCTGTAATCACTCTATAAAATGTTGTTTCATATACTCTTTCAATTTCATCACCATTTAAATTCAGTTTTATTTCACAATTAGCCCTAATACCACCAAACTTATCAACAGCAAACCATTTTTTTCCAACATGATCAATTCCCTTTCTACTGTTTTTAATAACTCTTTCATGTCATCACCTGAACAAAATTAATTTGTATCATCAGCATATGTTACAAATTTCAACATATTAGATACCATACAAATATCATTTAGATAAAGTATAAATAACTAAGGTCCCAATACCGAACCTTGTGGAACATCACAGGTCATCAAACAAATATTAACTTGGACTCAAGGATGAACTGATTTTGTTTGATAGTGGAAGGTCAAGGTCACTGTGACCTCACTAAAGATGTTTTTTGCCAAAACCCAGGAATTCATGTGCTAATTATGATGAAACTTCCCACAAGCATATAATACGATAAAATGATGAAGTGATGAAATTTTATTTCCAAAAGGTCAAAGATCAACTTCACTGTGATATAAAATTTTGCAAAAACACTTTTCTGGCAGTAATTTAAGTTTTTTTTCAGTGAGTACCTTTAACTAATGATCTGTGTGTATGGCACATATTATTTATGTTCCATACACATTATATACTCTACTCTCTTATTAGAACTGAAGTTTACAATACTTGGTCAAATATCAAATATTTGATAATATTTGATATTTTTTTTTGTGCTATAAAGAAGTACAGCAGATTTCCCACCACAATATGTAACCCACATATTGTAAAATACACTGACCAGCACAGGCTGCCTACTCTTCCTTGTCACATCCAGATGATTAGATGATTATATCTCTGTCTCAATCTGAATATTAAATTTGAAATATTAAAATGTCACATATTATTTTTGAATACAGTAATATTAAAGGTAGCTCTACTAGCATAACCTAAGAAATAACTAATTTACACCATGTAACATCCAAAACATTCACTGTTAATGAGTGAAATATTAATGATAAACAATGTTGACCCTTCAATGCATTAAATTATTATATTTCATCTTTTTCTTCTGCATTCTGTTCCAGCAAATGCATATAGATGTGGCCACGGGTCAGATCCATGGTGAGCTGCAGGACAGTGTCACTGCTCTGGAACAAGTCATCACAGACCTGCAGGAGCTGAGTGGGAAGCTGCGTGACCAATCACAGTGACCGTCTGCGCAGGAAAAATCAGAAGCTGTGGCCCTGAAGGCTCCTAAGTAGTAAAGACTAATCCGAAACAGACAGACTCAGCTGTAGGCATCAGCTTTGTGTATGGCCGAACGCCTTAAAATCAAGAGTTTTACATGTGACACTTGAGAATAACACAAGGTTAAATGAGAATGCTTAATGTTTTATTTTGTAGTCATGATGTTTTTATACCTCTATATCCACATTGGACTGTAAACAATGACTATAAGCCATCAAAGAATAAAATATCTAAAATTCTGCTTGCTTTTTTTTCACTCATTAGAAAATTATTGATTTGGAACATGAAATTCATCACAAAATGAGGTAGAGGAACATACTATTACAGAGTTGGTGTGAGTGTTTGAGTGTCATCTGCTTTCAGTATAGAAAATATGCGGCCTTTCTTTTAACTGAGGCCAAGGCCCAGTCCCATTTCTTATTTTTACCCCTTTCCCTTGTTTTCACGAGCCCTTTTGCCCCTCAGTACACAGGAACATGTTGTAGTGGCTGAAGTCTTTGAAATGGGGCAACCCTTAAACACCCAGATATGTCATTAGTAGACATCAATGAAGTTTACATGAACAGATGTGACCATAAGACAAGACAAGACAAGACAAGACAAGACAAGACACACCTTTAATGATCCCATAATTGAGAAATTCCAGTGTTACAGCAGTCAAGGGGAAAGATTAAGATTAAAGATTTCAAAATTTAAACTTAGAAACTTAAAACTTAAACAATGGGAGCAATGGTGTTATCACAATTACATTTACTATTGATAGTAAAGCATGGACACTTGCAATTCGTTCACAACTTAAGTTTCACACTATTAACCGATCAAACTACTCATCAAATAAAAAAGAACACTGCTCCATTACCAGCCCACTAGTGGTGCCTCGTAGACTTGAGTTTAATTTTGGGCGTCATATGCTGTCAGAGGGGGTGGAATGCGATATGGGGGCAGTGTTGGGCAGTAATGCGTTACAGTAATAACATTACTTTTTCCAGTAAAGAGTAGTGTAACTTATTATTGGTAAAACTTTAGGAATAACATTACAGTTACTCCAAAACCACACAACTCATTACAACATTACTGACTTAAAATACAACAATCACATTAGTGGATTAATTTCCGTAATCGTCACGCTGCACATGCAAGTCTCAAAGCAGCAAGCTAGATTGGAGGATGACGTTTACCTTAGCACCTGGAAATATGCCCATTATTTCGATTTTGTCAGGAGGAAAGATGACAAGAACACTGTTGCTGCAGGTAGTTGTACTATAATTAAAACTTTCCACTGCAAAAAACACTTCCTCAGACCTCTGGTCTGAATCACCTCAGCTACTCTCAGCAGTAGCTCAGTCCATAGGGACCTGGGTTGGGAACCGGAGGGTCACCTGTTGAAGTCCCCGTCCGGACCAAAATATGGAGGCTGGACTGGTGGCTGGAGAGGTGCCAGTTCACCTCCTGGGCACTGCCGAGGAGCAAGGCACTGAACTCCCCCCACTACTCGGAGCACCTGTCATGGGCAGCCCCACTCTGACATCTCTCCACTCAGTGCATTTATAGGTCCTGTTTGTGCATGTGTGTGTGTTGGGACCTGTGTGTAATTAACAACAGAATGAAAAATTGAATTTCCCCTTGGGGATTAATAAAGTGTGTATACATATACATATATATATATATATATATATATATATATATATATATATATATATATATATATATATATATATATATATATATATATATATATATATATATATATATATATAATGTATAAAAAAAGTACTCTGAGTAGCAGCATGACAACATGGAGCTCCGGGAAATACATCCTATCAAAGGTGAGCCCTCCTCAGCTGCAGAGATTGGCTATAGCCCCACACTGGCTAAACAACCAAAACTGGATTTTACTCATGGAGAGCTGCAGGCTACAAAGAAGTAATAAAGCTTGTGGCTCGATATGTGGTGGATGAAATGTTGCTCCATGAGTGACTTTCCGTCTTTCAGGCAGATACTTGGGAAAATACCGGTCACAGACAACTGAAGACCCCAGGTAAAAGAAAAATAAATAGCAATGTTATTTAGTCTCAGCTACACTACTGGAGTTTACCCAGGCATTCACACAGAGGCTCACATCTGAATTTTTGAGAGGTACGCAAATATCAGTTTTATGCGGTGTAACGGAAAAGTAAGATAATGAAAAGTGTAATGAATTACTGTTGGCTGGGGGTACTAAGTAAAGTAATAATATTACTTGAACTTCGCTATAGAAAAACCTCCATTTGGAGGCGTGAATATGCAAAACGAAGGGGTAAGGGCAGGCATTTCCAAAGTCGGACTGATTTTAGACGGCCTGCAGCATGTGGTTCAAAGTATACTATATGTGCCCACACACATTATCGGTTAATCAAGCAAGCTCACTTTGCATTTTTTTTCTGTGCACCTCATGATAGCAGGACTAGAGTTTGTAGACATTGTGTGAAACAATAAACACAACTAAAGGAGGCTAAATGTGGTCTGCAACAGACAGTAAGGCTTGTTGTTTTCAGCCAAGATGATCTCCGGAAAACTTGCAGCCTGCACTGGCCAGTTAGGAGGAGTGAGGAGTCAGCAGTCAGTGACGGTATGTAACGGTCAATAAAACAGATTTTTCAACAACTAAGAACCACTGCAACTATGAGAGTTCTTCAAACATACAGTATCTCACATAAGTGAGTACACCCCTCCCATTTTTGGAAATATGTTATTATATCTTGTCATAGGACATCACTATAGAAATGACACTTTGATATATCCTAAAGTAGTCAGTGTACAGCTTGGATAGTAATATAGATTTACCTTCCTCTGAAAATTAATCAAAACACAGCCATCAACATCTACATGATGACACTTGACTGTAGGCAAGGGACAGTTGTCTTGGTGCTCTTTCAGCATGTGTGGCACCTTGGTGAAGAGCACCAAACTGTCTCTTGCCTACAGAGCCTATGGCTCTGGGGAGCTCGGTTCATTTAGGGAAACATGAATTCCAAGCAGAGCATGATCGCCCCCCTTCAGAAACTGAGCTGCAATGCAGTTTTCCAACATGATAATGAGCCAAAAGACACCTAGTAGATGACAACTGCCTTGCTGAGGAAGCTGAAGGTGAAGGTGATGGACTGGCCAAGTATGTATCCAGCCCTAAACTCACCTGTGCACCTGTGGGGCATCCTCAAGCTGAAGGTGGGGTAGTGCAAGGTGTCTTCACATCCACCTGCTCCATGATGTCATCATGAAGGAGTGGGAGAGGATTCCTGAAGCAACCTGTGAGCTCTGGTGAATTCCATGCCCAAAAGGGTTAAGGCAGTGCTAGATAATAATGGTTGGCACACAAAATATTGACACTTTAGGCACAATTTGGACATGTTCTCTGTGGGGTGTACTCACTTATGTTGCCAGCTGTTTAGATGTTGATGGCTGTGTTTTGATTAATTTTCAGAGGAAGGTAAATCTATACTACTATACAAGCTGTACACTGACTACTTTAAGTTATATCAAAGTGTCATTTCTATAGTGTTGTCCCATGACAAGATATAATAAAATATTTCCAAAAATGGCAGGGGTGTACTCACTTATGTGAGATACTGTACAGTCATACACATGCAGACAAAATATGAGGCTAATTGGTCCAATAGTGTGCAAGCTGCAGACGGACGGATACACATATCCACGCACACACACGTCCAAACACACGATCCTGTCTAGACTTGCACCTGGCAGAGATAATTATGCTACTTCTGTGACTCCTGTTTGTTGCCATTTTGCCAGTGCTTTGTTGATATTTTGGTGACTCTTCTTGCTAAGTGGGAGATATTGTGGCATTGGCCACAATCCCACATCATTCGTTACATATGAGGTCGCCATTTTGGACACGCTGTACCATTTTTGTGTTTAGTACTCTGAGCAGCACCTCCACTTTGTGTGCTCTGAGTTTTAAAACAGCTATTAAAAACCAGAGAGCACACTCTGATGCTCTGAGAGATCATTTCCCGAGAGATGGTGAGTACACACACACACACACACACACACACACGCACACACACACACACACACACTAATAGTCAGAGACCAGCTCATCCTGCTGCCCTTCAGTTAGTGCAGGGAGGATCTCACAATCCTCTCTCCAATTTGTTTTCTCACCCAGCAGGAAATGACCTTGACGTTGCTCAGGGTTTTTATCTCACCCTTATTTTTTTTACTACAATGGAGCTTGTGTTTTATTTCGACTGGGCCATTTTATCATAGCACACAGAGCCTCTGCTTTGTAAGGGAAGCCTGTTGTAGCAACCAGATAAGGATAGAAAGGACTTGTTTAAGATAGAGATACATAAATGCCATCTATGAAAGCCACTGTTAATGGATGATTGGCTGTTATCATGTGAGGGATTGGAACTTATAATGTACAGGTACTGCATGTTGAATAGATATTTGAACTGTAATGCAGTGTTTGTGTTTCTCATTGCTTCAGATATCTACATAGCACAGGCTTCTATATGAGGTAACATTCAGGTTAGGGGGCATTAAATCCACATTTCCAGCCTCACACACCATTTAAGGAATAAAAATGGCAAGAAATAATGACCCATTTCAGACTCTGCATCATTCATTCATCACTACATGATATCACCCTCACAGACACAGGATCAGTCAGAAGTGGTGACAATGGTCTTAATGGGACTGTAAATTTCCCAATTGCTATTTCTGGATAAACCCTATATGGGTGATTTGTTGCTGTTCTGTCGTTGTCCAGAGGACGGCTTTAATAGACGCAAACACCAGTTTGCTCTTTCTGCCTCGGACAAACTCCCCCAGAATTCCTGGTATTCCTCAGTGGGCTACCACTGAATCACTGATGCACCACTCTCAAAACTCCCATTACATCACATTTTAGTTAACTTGGTAGGCAGACTATTTTTAGTTTGGACAGATTCTCATGTAACATTTGATTCATAGGGTTTTTCTTCTATTGGAGTTGGATCAGAATTTGTTTCCATATAGAATAGTTTCAGTCTGGGACATCTCAATGCCCTCAGGCTCTGCTAGGTCTTTATTTGGGATAGGCCTTTAATTCCTTTCACACAAAACTGTTGCTCAGGAAAGATGCTGAAATACTGTCAAATTGTTTATTTGAACCAGTATGAATATCACTTGTTATATTACTTGGAATATGAATAACTTACAGGGTATTTGAGGAATAGACACATAATATGAGGTAGCCAA